CCTTTTAATCACTCTTAAGTGAACAGGATTACAAAATCAAGATACTTTTGATACTTCTTTTTTTACTCTCAGCTGAGAATTTGAAATCGAACATCTGTATTATTTCATTTTAATGGATCATTTCATTACATCAAAGAGAAAATGAGAATTAATATAGTAGCTAAACTTGTGACAATAACTGTCAACTGACGTCTCTCAAGGATTGTCAAGGGCCAGGTATGCAGTGACATATCGCTACTCCGGGACGTTTGTACTCGTACAACACATTCTTTTAAATCGCGCGCCAATTTCACTGGACGCAGTGCCCGCGACCTTGACATGCCTGTGTTAGGGGAAGTAATTTAGGAAAGAATGGAAGACTTTGTCGTTGCCAGGCCCTGCAATACGAGGTTTTCTGTCGGAATGTCCCCGATTTCCCATGCATAATTACAATACTTACTCTTCTATTAAGAAAAGCGAAAAAGGAGAAGCGGAAGTTCTACATTCTTTAAAAGTAAATTATTCCATAAATATCAGTTGTTGAAATAAAAAATTTCATGGTAGTGATATACCTAATCTGTTACGGAGTGATTGGAGACTCTTGAACATAGATATTCCTCATGAGCGATAAACAGAGGTAACGACTCCCAGTGTGCGATAAACAGAAACAGGTTTACCTATAGTAGGATGAAGTTTATTTTAAGCCAACAGTACACATGACGTGTGAACTGAACTTTGTAAAATATGAAAATGTTTATTATAAATTTAAAAAATAGTGTAGGGTTTTTCGAAGATGTTGGTTCGGTTCACATCAATAAGCGTGCAGACGTATTTTTAAAACATTTTAAATAATTTTATTAACGCCATCGTTCCACTGCGTATAGTGTTTCCTTCACAGTTTTACTGATATTTGGTACCTCTGAACTTTACATTTACGCAAACAATTTCCATTTGGGCATATTCATACAAGACAATTGTAATTCTAGCTAACAAATTGATGAATCTGCCTTTCTTTTGTGAACACATTATTATTGCAAGTTGCAAGAAACGAGATTTCTATAAAAGTGGATTCAGACATACATCATCTGTAACACAAAGTAACACAGACGTGCAACTCAAGCGACGAGTAACATGTAACTACTACTCGAATTAGCAGTGAACAAGTGGTGAAGTCAAGTCTTTCGACTTCACAGGGCACGACTTTTAAGTCATTTTTGTCATCAAAAATGACTTAAAGCGTGCCCTGTGAAGTACACATATTCCATGCACATATTCCGTGAATTTCGTATTGTGAAGCCAGTGGTCACACAGACCCGTTCCAACATGCTAAGAGAATACGCAACTCCAACGCGAAACATCCCTATGATACATCGCTGGAAACAAGCAATGGAACGCTCAGGTGCCATGCTCGGACGCTACAGGTTATCCTGTTGCAGTTATAGTGTAATTGTCACTGTGACTGACATTATGCTACGTTTTTGCTTGCCTTCACTTATCTTTACTGTATTTCTTTTTGTAATTATTATTATATTTCATAAATACTAGTTATTTTTACAGATTTAGACCCTATAAACTAGGCAAAAAAATTGTTTTCGTTTACACGGTTCATTTTATATTCATGTCTCCGGGAGTCGATAAATACGTATCTGATTTGATAGGTTCAATTTATGACCTTTTGAAAATCGTCCTTGTTATCTCTCCGAGGAAAAGAACCGTCACAATCTTTTGAAAAATGAGTTGGTCTCAAATTGATTAAATACTTCCTTGTAATTGCATCTTTTGTATGTAAAGTGTATAATTATACTTTACCCTTATCAGCATTAATATAGTCATTTGTCAGTACCAAAACCAGTTATTTTCGTGTACACATACTGTGAGCTATTAGCCCAGTCACTAGATATCTGAACCAGGAAAAATTAGGAAGTTTCTTTCTCAACGGTTATACCTGTTTTTTGATATGCTTAATTTGAAAATTAAGTTTGCTACCTCGAAAAAGATAGGCTTCACGAAAAAAATGTAAAGAAACTAAAAAATTTAAATTAAAACGAAAAAAGCAAAAATTAAAAGATCGGGTTAGGTACTAGAGCGTGCCAAAAACGCTGACATTTGAGCCTCTGGCCAAAGTGGGAAATAGCGCTTTCTCTCTCGCTCTCTCTCTCCTTCTCTCTCTATCTCTATATCTGCCTTTCCCTCTCTCTCTATCTGTCTCTCCCCCTCTCCCTGTCTCTGCCCCTCTCCCTCCCTCTCCCCCTCTCCCTCCCACTCCCCCCTCTCCTCCCACTCCCCCTCGTCCCTCCCCCTCTCCCTTCCCTCTCCCCCCGCTCTCTCTTCTCGCCCCTCTCTCCCTCCCCCCCCTCTCCCCCCTCTCCCTCCCTCTCCCCCTTTCTCTCTCTCTCTCCTCTCTTCTCTCTTTCTCTCGCGCCCGACATCGCGGCGGCGGTCTATTTCACTACATAATTCTTGAAAACAACTATTATGAATGAAATATTGGCATTGTTAAACAATTGATACTCCTATACTCGCGGAATCTACAGGGGCGTGTTTCTACTCGCGGAATCTACAAGCCAGGAAAGGTGCTGCAGGCGATGAGTTGTTAGCAAAGGAACTAGAGTCGGTTTTCTGCTGACATAACCCATTAAGGTCTAGATTCGCCCCACTGTTCTAACGGATACGTTCGTCGAACGTCCCACATTAATTTCTGCGGTTATTTCGTGCAATGGTACTTTCTGGTAGCACTGACAACTCTGCACAAACGCTGCTTTTCTCAGTCATAAAGTGAAGGCCGTCAGGGAATACTTTTTTTTCGTAGTGAGAGGATATGCCTGAAATTAGGTATTCTCGGTACACTCTTGACACTGTGGATCTCGAAAATTGAATTTCTTAACAATTTCCGAAAAAGAATGCCCCATGCATATAGCTCTGGCTATCATTTCGCGTTCAAAGTCTATTAATTCCCGCCGTGCGATCAAAATCACGTCAGAAACCTTTTCACATTAATCACTTGAGCACAAAAGAAAGCTCTGCCAATGCACTGGCCATTTACCCATTTTGAACGCGATTCTGCTGCCATCTATACATTTACAACTTGCAAAATCATGAACTGTCATTGTCTCTTATAAAGTCTTACATTTTTGAAGCTCCTGAATAAAGGTCACTGATTCTGGTGCAAACACTTAGTTCTTTAACTGTGAAAGGAGCAGTGTAAGAAAAAGATTTCGTTTGGGTTTGAGTCTGGTTGGTGCAGGCTGTGGGAGCAGTCTCGCGCATTACATAAGTTGTTCAACTTGAAGGAGTGTGGATGGAAAAGACACTTCTGTAGTGAAAATGTGAAAAGTGAATATACAATTCAATTGTAATGTCTTGAACTATTGTATGAGTTAGTACCTTCAGACCTCAGTTGCTTCAGACAGTGGTATTGCAACCGAGGGAGTCGTTTTGATCACCAACTAAGAAATCGAACAATCGTGACATTAGTGATTGAACACATCCCTTGGCAGTGTAATTTTTTTTTAGAAGAGTCCTGCTCATCTACATTCATCACTTCCCTGGCAGTTATTCATTCATATAGAGGAGATAATTCGTTGCAGTTTCTCCGGAGCTGGGACCTGTAGAGTAGTTATCGAGATCAAGACGGCCCTTGTCGCTTTCCACTCCCACTGCTGAGAATCAAATCATTTCCAGTCCTCTGAGCACATGGAGGATAGCCCCATACTGTGTTGATGGGTTAAATGAATTATATATTTCTTTGTCGTTTACTACGGAATTATATCTACCATTGTCAGAGTTTTTGCAGAAACAGTCTAAATTCGTATAAACTCTTCAGAATTATAGCTAGAGATAATGAGAATGCAGAAGAGCTAGTAGGAAAAAAGATCGTAGTAGATGTTTTGTGTATGAGTCGGAAGTATTGCCTCACATCAAATACCATTCTCGCTCGTCCCACCGGCACACCTGATTTAAAAGGTCTCGGACGCATGGTTTCCGAGTTTTATGCGATTATAATATGTGTTGCAATAATCTGATTTGTATGCCATAATCTGCAAACTTCTATTTTTTTGTCTGAAATCTTGGAGGTGGGACTTTGACTGAAATCTTGGTTTGTTAGTGATCCGGGCGCGTCAACTGCTAAGGTCATTAGTCCCGAAGAGTAGTGAATGAGTTTTTCTCGGGAGGTGGCGCTGATCTTTCCCAGTTGGATGGCAAGATCCGGCGCCAACCTATCGTCGGCTAGCGGGCTCTTCCTCAGCGAGGTACCTCCCACTAGCGGGGCACCGCCCCAGCCTGGACAAGCTCAAAGCTCCCGAATGTAAGAGTGGGTGGGGGGGTGAGAATAAGACAAGGAAGAGGAAGGAAAGAGCGCGCGCGGTCCGTAGCCCTTTAGTTAGGGTACTGCTCCGGCATTCGCTTGGTGTTCATCGAAAAATATACAGAAAACCACCGATCTGAGCAGCCGGCCGCTATAATTCTAATCCAGTCGGCGACTAAATTTGACCTACTGACAAGCAAGTGTCGAAAATCCTACCACGATGGGGACTCGAACCTAGGACCTCCCGGTCAGGGCCACGGCAATGGCATCAATTGATGTCCTAATCTACCTCTCCTGGCATGACCCTCGGGGGCCTCGCTGGTAAATGCTCCCTCGACAGCTGATGCCCACTAAGCAGATAGGCTCCTTCGGCAAGTGGGGCTCCCAGTACGTAGAGCCCACTCGGCAAATGGGGTCCCTTCGATAGGATTAGCTACGGTTTTAGAAAGAATATTCTCATCCGCAATTTTAGAGCCTCGCTTAGTACACCTTGTATGGCAACATATGTTAAATTGTAGTGTTTAAATTTACTTATTTCTAGAATTAAACACTGCTGTATTTAAATAACGTCAAAATATAATCTCACTGGTTTCGAATCGAGGAAAGAACCAGTATCATGTCAGTACAATCAATTTGAAACTCTAGGAAACCTGCTCCTTAGTGAAGTAACAATGTATATCGTAATGTTTCTATGATGTCTCGAAATGTATCTACCCTAAATAACTACCTTGTAAACAAAAAAAAAATAAAAAATGCGTTTGCATTGAAGAAACTTGTTCACAACATAGTTTTTAATACTTGTCGCCATACAACAGGCAGAGTGAGTCATGAATATGCCTGATTTCCAGTAGAGCTCACTCGGCAGATACGACAGAACAGTCGGAAGATCAGGCTTCTTTAGTAAAAGGGGTAACCCCTTCGGCAGACGCCCCCACTCACAACTCTTCCGCCATTACTGACCGCGTACCGGATAGCTTGACTTGTGTCGATATAAAACTTCTGATTTGACAATACATTTGGCAGCGAACTCCAGAACAAGTTCAGAAATTGATAACATTCTGTCAACTCTACAGTTCATGTCTTTTACAGATTTGCGGTCCAATGGCATCTTTAGCATCCCAGTCCGCATTTTAAAATACATTTGAGTAATGCAGATGGATAAATGAAATGCGCATGGAATCCGTTGTGTAGATGGATAGGGATTCGAAAAGTTGTTGTACCGATGTGTTGTACCAATGTGTTGAGTTCAGTTAGCTATTCAAAAATAAATCATTTAATTAGAACTACTTTTTTTAGTAGTTACGAAAACGAATTGAACCAGTTAAGCCTTATCCGTATTTTGCGGGAAGGTAAGGCTTAAATACTGTGTTGACAGTTTTCACAGACGGTTAACGTTAATCATGATAGCTCAAGGTCGGAACCTTGATGTCTTGGCAGTGATCGAAGAGAGTCTAATTGGCAATATTAATTACATGTGAACATTCTATATGTGTTTCATGTATCCACTCACTTAAGCTTTGTCGAAAAAAACAATTTATTGTCCCACTGAACGGACGGATAGCCTAAGCCCGTACTTGATCGGACCGACCGGACCAGACGGACGGCAGTTTGCGTGTGGGTCTGGGCTTAGTCGGGGCGGGACGGAACGGATACTTCGGACAGTTTCTAAGTCAGTTTATGGGGCCCCCATCTCGATCAGGTTTTTGTCCAGTTTCCCTAATCCTCGAGCAAATGCTGAGATGGTCCATTGTTTTGCTTCTGAATATAAATGTAACTTCAAAATATCTTCTCCCCATAGCACGTCACACACACAGTTTTTAACTGTTTTTGACGTAAATAAATAAATAAAATAATATAAGTTTGATTCCTCGCTCCGCGTCTTCTATTGCGCGCGACGGCTTCGTAATCCTCAGTAAGAATCATTCGAATTTTGTTCATTTTTAATAACCAAAGATGAAAATGAGGAAAGGAGTCGAAGAAACCCCATATTTGGGGTTCTTAATATAAACAATGAGAATGACAAACTACTGGTGTTACAGAATGGCAGAAACTTTCTCGTACTGGTTAGTTTCCTTATCCTTTCATTCTGGGCCATCTTTCAGTTTTTACCAGTGCCTTCTCAACAACCATTTATTTGCCCCTGGAAGGCAATTTTTCAGGTTTAAAATTTTTGTATCCCTAACACCAGAATTTAAATATCACTTTAAGAATATTAGAAGATTAAAACACGCTTATATATACAGATTTTCGTTGAAACATTTGGTGTCGTTTTTAAGAAAATATCTTTGAGCCTTTCTAAATATGCGCAATTTTTAGCTTATTTTCATAGCAAAATTTTGACATCATTGGAAACATCATTGGAAAACATTTCAAGCACTTTTATTGAAAAATGCAATAATGTTAAGTGCATTAAGTGATGTATAATTATAACAATATTTCATCCTGGAAAGAACATTCTTTAATACTTCGCAAAAAGTCATAAAAAGCATTTCAATAGATTGAAGTCTGTTCAAACAAATTTGCAATATTAATACGCTGATTTATTCTATGAAAATATTTTTTTAGAAAAAGTAAGAAGTATTTAGAAAAATTATGCACTTTGTTCCCATCCCTACATGGAAGGCTTTGGAAGTTTCTACTTGGAATACACTAGCGGTGTCACAAGTGTCACAGGATGTCATAAGTGGATGCTCGGCCCTTGTCGCTACTAAGGACATCGTTCAACAAATGCATTCAAGACGTTTCGAATGCACGGGGCAGTGTGTTCTTTAAGACGAAGCATTACTCCATTTTGCAGTTGCTTAGGAAGAAATCTAAGACAGTATTACGAAAATCGTTGTGGTAACCGCAACAGAAAATGACAGCCTGCTGCTGTGTAGTGGCTTCGATCACAATGCTTTACAAAGTGGCTATCTCCTACAAACCTCTTTACTATCGTCAACTTTCTCGCGGACCCCTTCAATACACTAAAACAGGCTACACACACAAATATGGGTTAAATAGATTTAACGAATAGACTCAAGTGGTGAAACAATTTGATTTACTTTCTGTTTCGATAACCAAAAATTGATTTGACATATATTTTAGCTATTAAAGTAACAAATGTTCCAAAAATAAAGGAGAAAATAGAAAATATTGATATAGATGTAGGAAAATAATAGAAAAGAATATACGAATAACTTGTAATCATATCGCAGAAACAAGACAGAAAACCCTATATCATAATAACAGGCATGCAACTTCTAAAGGATTAAACTTGAAATGTTTTAAAACGATTGGAACTTCAACAGCACATACTTTCTCATACTATTAGTAACGGTTACGTAATATGCTATTGTTACTTCTAACTCAATAACTCTTGCGGCATACGGAAAAAATTAAACTTTTGCAATTTTTGAAAATACAGAGACTTCAATGAAAATAGGAACTGTGTCATTTTCACTTTCTCGTACACGTACGTATATATGGAGTAACAAAAGAAGTGTAGAGAAAGATAACGCTGCGTAAAATCGATATCAAGACTTTAACGGAAATAGACGTTTTGTGGCCCCCTGTTATCCCAATTTTTTTAAACGTCCGTCCGTCTGTTTTGTCTGCATATGTTTTTTCGAAATGAATGTTTCCAGATCGATTTGGTCCGACACGAAGCTTTGCGATTTTGAAAAAATACTTCAAATTTTGGGGTACATGATGTGAAGCCTCAGGGACATTTTAATTTTTTCTCAAAAACAGCTCCAAATGTTTTCTTTAAAATTTCTTATAAGAATAGAGTGAAAATTACAAAATCCAAACATTACACAAATAGTTTTTTTTAATACTCCAGTTCCTCCGAAACTTCATTGGAACGAAGTTTTATGTAAAACAGAGCTTCAAATTTCTAATTTACAGAAACGCTTACAAGACATACACTCACTACGGCTTCGAATTTTTCAACCAAAAAGTCCATATCAAAAGTTTTACTTGTCTATAATATTCTTAAAGTCATATTTCAGTTATACTATTAAGAGACCGAAAAATTGAGAAGGAAAATTAACTTTTAGTGGCAATAGATGGTAGTTGGGAAGAGGGGAGGCCAAAACCAAAAACAACACCTCAGACCAAAGAGATTAGAAAACAATCTAGTACAGGAAGTATATGGTATTCTGTAGCACCACTAGTTACAAATATCCATTGCTCTATTCAAGCAAAATATAAGGGAAAAAATTGTGTCTTTATTGAAAATGTAGCGGGTTCATGTAAAATTCTATCTCCAAAAATTCAAATATCCGTTTGAAATTCAAGATCCTTGACTTCAGCTAGATCGATCAGACTATACAAATTTTGGTGATAAATACTGTGTACCGTTTAGGCGCTGTTGCTCAGTCATTGACTGTCAATTAACATTTCGATATCATGGATCCCCACGTAATACCCTACGTATTCGAGAAAGTTATTTACATACATGTATGAGCAAGAAAAGAGACCCAGAAAATGAGCTTTTCTGTCGAAAATCGCCACTCTTTTCTGCAGCATCACTACTAGATACTCGTCTTTTCTCTTCTCATGGACGTTGGGCATGAAAGTAAAAATTAAGCTAGAATAGAACCTCCTGAGAGACCTGTAGGTCCGACGATCCCTCTCTTTCAGAGAAAAGATCATCTAACGCACGTTTCAGACTACTCCTTATCCTATTTGGATTATTTTATTTAAGAAAATGATGTTTGGCATTTTAATTTGCATTTAATACTACAGGCTATTTTGCACTTCGTACCACACAACCTAATGGCATTTTAGATGTTTTCAAGATCAAATCCGTTGGACCGTAGTATGTACAACTTCCATTACTTTTTGGATAGATCAGTTGTGTTTTTTCGTTATTTTTACCTCCTTTCTACTTTTCAAATGCCTGGGAGGGTAATTAAAAAGCAAAATTATATGATATATTGCAAGAATATTTCAAAAAGGGATATAGTCCGAAAAAAAGAAATGAAAAAGATGCGGGAAAAGAAGACAGAAAAATATTTAATCCCAGACATTGTTTCCGAAATATATAATAAACATTGGATAAGAGATTCAGTGCTCCGAAATTTGTTGGTTTAGACGATTTGAACAATATTTTCTATTAAGTTTCAAAGACTATATGTTTACAATTCGTGTTATTAAACTTTTGCATTGTGTGTTGTTGTTTATCTTTGTAAGTCTCGGTTCATGTCTCGGTGGCTTCGTCGCCACAGTATACTAAGGTAGCAACTCAATATTTATAACCCTTATTGTTCCATTCACTTCTCAAACAGTGCAACGTTCTCACCGACTAGGATGTCTTATATTCAACTAATCCATAACATCTTTGCTTAATAGTTCACCACTTTCGTAACCATAACGTTCAGAAACGATGTTACATCTTGACAGCCACACATTTCACGTTCATGGTCACGCGACGAGCAGAAATCATCTGATAATCAAGAACTATCTTTCATCGCTTATCTGCGCCTTAAGTGTCCTAAGTAGCGCCACTCGCAGCGGCAATTCAGGCAGATTTGGCCGCTGGCCGCTCCACTCCCGCCCGGGCGGCCGGGCGGAAGCTGTGCTTCGCGCGCACCCACCTCGAACGTCATGATGCCGTCGTGGCCGTACTTGTCGAAGATCTGCTTGAGGAAGAAGCGCTGGTCGAGCGGCAGGGCGTTGGCGTCGGCGCCGGCGCCGGTGCCGGGCGCCGCCTGCGCTGCCTGCGCCGCCCGCGCGCAGCCCAGCAGCGCCGCCAGCAGCAGGCACAGCAGCAGCAGCGGCAGCGGCGAAGAGGCCCACATGTCTGCAGGGCGGACGGCGCGCTCGCCGCAGCCAGCCGGCCGTCGCCGAGCGTCGTGCTTGCCACCGCCGCCAGGGCGCAGTACGCGCGCCACCGCACGTGTGCGCAATGCGGCTTGCCATTGGTTGCGGAAAGATTGGACAGACGGTTCATTTAGACTACGTCTAAATGAAAATAAATTTTATTTATTTTGGCCGTGGATGTGTCTGGCTGAATTCAGTGAAACATTTGCGTTACGTTCTTTATGATGAATTCAATTTGAGATATGAGAAACTCAAACTCTATAGAGTTGGATCAATCGCTTCGCCAATATTAGCGATGTAAAAAAATTAAAAAAGAGAGGTGCTACAACTCATATTTTTTTGCATTGTAGGAAAGAGTTACTACGTAATATTGAACTAATGTAACGGGAATGTGGAATGTGGCCCAGAGAATCAATTGGTGTCACTGCAGTGCCTCAGACCGGGAGGCCCTAGGTTCGAGTCCCGACGGTGGCAGGATTTTCGATACTAGCTTGCCAGCTAGGTCGAATTCAGTCGCTGACTGGAAGAGTTCTACGGCCGCCTGCTCTGATCGGCAGTTTTCCGTGGTTTCTCTGATCATCACCAGGCGAATGCCGGAGCAGTGCCCTAACAAATAGGCCACGGACCGCGCGCGGTCTTGTCTTTCTCTTCCATGTCATATCCTCACCCCTTTTTTCCTATACTTACAATAACATGCTACATTTCCACACATGCCAGGAGACCAGTCGGGCTTAGAGCTTGCCCCGGCTGGGGTGCTGTCTCGCTGGTGAGAGATACCTGGTTGGGGAAAACCTGCTAGCCGACGGTAGGTCGGCGCCGGATCTTGCCATCCAGCGGGTGAAGACAATAGCCACCCCAAGGGACAGCATGCACTACACTTTCGGGAATAATGACCTCAACAGTTGACGCGCCCGCAATCACTAACAAACAACTAGTCCATCATGAAATATTGTTATTTCTGCTCTACAAACAACTGAGATATAACTTGTAACAAGTGGTGCTACAGAATAGACTATGTCGTAGAACTGTTTTCTAATTTCCTTAGTATTGGGCTACCTTTACGGGTTTGCCCCCATCATCCTGGTGGCTGCCATCTATCGCCGCCTAAAGAACGTTTTTGTTTGTTTGTTTGTTTTCCTTTTTTTCCTCAATTTTTCGGTTTCCTAAGGGTAGATTCGAAATATTGCTTCTAAAATAATAAAGAAGAGCAAAACCTCGTCCTAAATGGAAATTTTCGTTGGAACCTTTGGAGCCATTTTTAAGAACAAATTGTTTAAGCTCTAATGTATATGCTCTTTTTACAGAAATATTTTGTGTTTTCGAAAAACTTTATTTGAAGTAATAAGGAGCAATTTCACTCACAAATGAAGTGATGTGTACAAAATGCTGCATATGTCATGTGAAATATTAACGGTGTCAAAGATATTTTTAAAAATTACATTAGTGTATTTTTTAAACGAAAGAATACAGGATAATCAATTCTGTCTCATCTTGAACACTGCAATTAGCACTAAAGAATGTTTTTCAAAATCTCAAAGCTTTGACTCGCGCCATGTCGACAGGAGTTTCTTAAATTTGAAAAAAATCCTACGGATGGTTTAGACGCTACTCATGTTCACAGAGTGATGCACGGAAAGAAGATTTCGCGTCAATTGATTTTTCGTTAACAAGGACCCACAAAAGTGATTCTGGCTACACCTCGTGATAGAGGATTTTTTTTATTTAGGAACTGGATTTATCGACTTTTTCATTATCAACGCCCGGCAATGAATTTTTCTGCCGAAAATCCTCAGTTTTTTTCTCGCAGCATTACATAACTTTCTTTATAATACTTATATTATTCCGTACACATGTACGTATTCGATAAAGAAAGTCAAATTGAACCAATTCAAACGATTCGCCTGCGGTGCATATCTGCATTTTATTCGATAACCAGGAACAGTGGTAATTTCCAACATTCGTCTCGTGCTACATTTTTTGCACTCATTGTACAGAAAATAAATAATATTCCATACAAACTTGCCTTGATTACATCGATGTATGCTAACAATTTCTCAATTCCAAATCAGCAATCAAAAGTTTTAAATAAAATAAATGTATATTTGTTAGTTCTACTATAAATATTTTACCTTGAATATAATTCCTTTTGTAAGAATGTTATCTATATTATACGATTATTACGACTGGGGACAAGGAGCAACGTTCGAATATAATTTGAAACACCCGTGCTTAGAATTCGTATACCTTTTTTTTATTTTATTTTTTATTTTATTTTATTTTTTTTAATACAGGGAGTGCACCAAAATGGGACAAGAACCACTTTCTTTACATACGTGCTACATACGTGAAAAAATAAAGAACAAATTGAGCCGTTACTGATGAAAAAAATTGTTCAGAATTTAAAAGTTAACTATGTTTAATGCAAAATTAAGCAAGAAATACTCCTATTTTCGAATAATTCTACATGACCTTATGAAGATCTGTTTCTGATGAACACATTTCTTGAAGAAAAAATATATAACATAGTAGTAATATATAATAGTAACATACTCTACATAATTATAGTAGTATAAACACGTTAAAAAATTTGGATTATTCCAATTTTCGAAAAATAATGGATTTCATTGAAAGTGACACCATTCTCTTAAGCGTCCTTTTACGTAATCCGAGATCAATATTTCATCAAAAAATTTGGTGCCTCTTGTTTATAATTTTGATAATATATCAGGGGCTTCATGTAAAGTACCGAATGAAATTAACACATCGTCTAAAATTCACGGGGCCAGACATCATTCAGGCCAGCCACAACATTAGGGAATATCAAATTTGATGAAAATCTGCCTACGGTTTAGCAGCTAGCGTTGTTCACAGACAAGACGAACAGAGTCCCGTTCGATCAAATTATCGGTGTGAAGGACCGACGCGTTCTGACTACACAATTTTCTACAAGCTACATTAAATAGCGCACACTTCCCACTTAAAGTCGTCGTAACTAGGTAATTCCTAGACATTTTAGGATCCTATGGGTTCCCTAGACTTCCCCACAGGACATTGAAGTTTCTTTCCTTCGTTTACTACCAGCAATGCTAAATTGCACCATCGTAATTTACAAATTATGTGTAAAGTTTGATAGAGCTTCTGAGAGCAATTAACGAGATAGTCAGGAGCACCACTAGTTAATAACACAGTATTCACCGCATATGCGACAAAAATCTGGCAAATTTGTACAACGCTTCAAATTTGAAGCAACGATTCACCAAACGCACAGAGAAACGCAACGGGAAGAATTATGTCTGTGATGCAGCCTGAGGCGGGATTCAGGGGGACATGGGGCGTTACTGCCTCCCAATGTGAGGAGGCAAAAAAATATATTTAGACATTTAATTTCGCGGATCTTCAAATTTATATTATAAAAATATTTACTTTTTTCTTTATTTTGAGACGTAATTAATCCCTAAACAGAATTTGAGTATCTGAGCATGTGTGCAGATCCACCACTCACGGTTAGTCCACTTCCCGTGCACCAATCGAAACGCATGAGGTGTCATTCGACGTTTCTCGGTCTCCAGATGGGGAACTGATAATTTGTTTTCGGATCCGGGCAGAAGATTCTAAGAAATTTCCCAAAACATGTTTTTGCGTTATTTAGCTTTGTCATCATAGTCAGTATTGTACTATATTTATACCACAAGACAAAAGTAAACTAGTGGTGCTCAAAGGCACCATTTTGTCATATAATTCGTAACGATTACGAAAATTATGCACAGGAATATTTCCAGATATTTTAAAATTAGCAAAAATTAATCCACTTTTTAAAAAGGGGAGCAAAAAAGACATTCAAAATTACCGGCCAATATCTCTTTTGTCAGTTTCCTCAAAAATATTAGAGGCTTTTCTCAGAAAAAACAAGCGTTTTCAGACGCACAACACAGTTTAAAAAAATCAAACTCTACTGCAATCGCCATATTTTTCTTTTCTTAAAGATGTTGCTTCATCAATGGAACAAAATATCGGAATATTTTAGATCTTTCGAAAGCTTTTGACGTTATTGACCACAACATATTGCTATCAAAATTACCTTCTTAAGGATTTTGTGGTATTGCCCTAGATTAGACAACCTCGTACCTTAAACATCGATCTTAAAGAGTGGAAATAACGTACAGCCACGAAAGGACATTATAAACTTATCTTCCATATTGTTTACCAATTGAATATGGGGTCCCGCAAGGTTCGATCTTAGGTCCTATTGTGACGTAGTGAAATAAGAAATAAATTTCAATAACAAAATAAAAATAATATTTTCAAAGATTATGTACAAGTTACAATGAATTGCTAATATTAAAACACTCCGGCAACCTTTTCCTTTCAGAACACTGCTTTACCGCAGAAAATACAAGCCACGCGTGATGCGCGCTATCGGACCTCGGTCCCGGGACAATTACCGTCACATGGCCTGACGCCAAAATTTAACCCGGTCGTGGCGACCGTGTGCCTACAGCACGTGAGATTGTCTGGCCCTTACTCTCCAGACATCTCGCCCACACTCCTACACCCCTTGTACACACGTACAAGCTTCCCGATGCAAACTGAATGAGAACGCGGGCGCAGATGGCGCCGCGTTAAATAGTTGAGGCTGACACCCCCACCACTGTTCCATAGGTAGGTTCGCCGGCTGGCGCGAGACTCGCAGGCCAGCCTTTGGTTTACGCCCACACACAGAATTCTCAGGTTGGCTGCCTGCTTCCGTAAACGAGGCTCGCCGGCAGCATCCTCGGAGTTTACAGCCTCCGGTATTTTTGGCTCTGCGGCACTACCTGAGACAACCGCCCGAGCGCAAACTCCCGGATGTTCAGGCTCAACCCCTTCCTCCCCCGCAGCGTACTTTCACCGACCTAACGGTTCTGGCCCTTGTGTTAACGACGCCACACTATCCTCTTTCTGTTATACATAAACGATATGTCCACGCCTATTAAAAATGGAAGAACAGTTGTTTGCCGATGACACAAATATTCTTTGCAAAAAAAGAAACAATCAATAGTACTATTTTACAAGTTTCAAATTGGTTTTGTAAAAACAAATTAATAGTTAATGAAGGAAAAATAGTTTCAATTAATTTTTGCCTTTCAAATCAGCAATCGCAT